ACGGTAACGTACCCGCGAGGGTTTACGAGCGCGCACGCAGTGACGTGTTTTCAAACTTTTCCAAGGGCAGAGCTTAAATCTGTCTAAAATATAAGCGATACATTCATAATATCATTAACGAACACGCACGAGGTACGAGACACGAATTAACGTTATTTTTCTCCGTACCTTCTTATCAAGCGATTTGTGCGTTTTCAACATTTTTTTTTTTTCTTCTACGAGGTCGAAAACCCCCATCCCTCGCCCGAAAGTGCGAACAAATATTAAACGTAATCGTTTTTACATACAGATAACGGTTTGAAAAATATTTCTACGCGTTCAAAACGTGCCGAGCTAATCACTTTTCCCAACTACGACCGTAAGTGTAATTAGACGGTTGGGTACTGTTACTCCTGTTGTTTGATTAGCTCCCGGATAAGATTACGGGGTCTTTATTTTCAGTTTGCACGATATATTGAATAAATATTTTCAAGTTCACTTTTACTTGATGTTTCGATTTAAAGTAAATACAATTATAGCTTCTTAACTTCGTAGGTTTTTTGTTGTTTGGGTACTTCATAAAAAACGTATTTGTATAAGCCTGACGATTTATTTAAATATTCCATAAGACATATGATATTTAACTGTAATAAACGAAGTACGAGTTTACGGAACCACACAACATATTATTATTATTATTTTTTTTTTTTAATAAATATAATTTTAATATTATGCCTTTCTCACGAATAAAAATATATTTGTCTTCACTTAAAATTAATTTTAGTTTTAACCATATAGGTAAATGTACATTAAGAACTTAAGTATCTGAACGATAGATTACTAGTATTGGATAAGGAACCATACACGACAGTACCCATACTAATAAAACCCCACGAGAGTCCATTTTCATCAATTTACATCAAATTACCATAGTGCGTGATGAGAATACATTTTATATGTTAGGACACGCGATATATAACATATAAAATGTATATATATATATACATACATAGATATATACAGTATTATAATGTAATCAATGTAGTCAGAGGCGACAGATTTTGAAAATGTTATGGACGGTTCTCTATTTTATAATCACGTGTACAGTTTTACTTGAATCTTACTATACAGTTATATATACTTTAACTAACCTCGAATTAATAAAATATAGTTATTGGTTGTTCTGAATGTTATAACATTTTAATAGTAAAAAAAATAATCATGAAAAATCATAAGACAAGAATTAAAAACTTGTTTTTCCGCACTTTAGAAATGATAATAAATTGATTCGCAACAATTTCCAAATTTATTTCTTCATCACGGTGAACATAAACAATGGAAATATCAATCAACCATGTTTGATTCATTGTGTACTTAATGTATACCTTAATTCTGTCAAGGGCAGAAAAAGATCTTTCTAATGTACATGATGACACTGGTATAAGTAACATTATGCATAATATTTTGTTTGACTCCAGTAATATTTGACAAAGTGCATCATTATTTTCCATTAGCTTCAAGACATTATCAACATTTTTAAATGGCGATTTCCTTGGTTTTGCTTCATCCAAAAATATATTCCCGAGTAATGGCCATTTATCACCATCATAGTCGGATGCATAACATTTAATTATATCTTTATGTGAAGTTTCTTTCTCAATGATAAAGCTTTCGATTAACAATAAATGTTCAATATCATATTCTTGGAACCTTCTACCTAATGAAGCTAATGTTACAACACAATCTCGTAGAATAGATTAATAATAAAGCTTATAAGAATATATTATATTTTTCTTGAATTCTTAAAAAGAATATGTGATTCACTTCCTTCGGCCATTCGTTATGGTGGTTTTCAGATTCTAGTTTAATTTTTCTCTAATATCAATGTTGAAAAAACGTTTTTTCTTTCTCAATTAATTTGTTATAAATTAAATTTATATTTTGAGGATATACATGAGTATATGACAAATATTGATTTTTTTTTTATTATGAGAACAATGGGGGCCTGAACTCCATCTTATCAAGATCATGGGAGGCTAGAGCCCCCGGCCCTCTTGCACACGGCGCCCCTGAATGTAGTCGTCTGCGTGTTTGAAGACGTTAACAATTGTGTAGAGAAAATTATTTTAAAACGTCCCCTCTAGTGGACCATTGAATAGCCAATTTAAATCAACTGACATCGATCGTCCCGAGGTAATGATTATATTATTATCATGTGTTTTATTATACTTATACCGACGTATATCATATTATTACGAGCCGGACGTGTGTACACAATCGTGATCGGTCGGTTACGAGTAAATCAGCTTTATATCGTCAATCATCTGCGTAACACGATCATCAATCATCACGTAGACCTATTATCCTAGTTCAACCCAAGCTAATATAAAATATGCATAATATTACGTACTATTGATTTGAAAAAATATATATATATACATATATATACCCGCACTGATATTAATTAAGCCTCTTTTACCGTAGAAATCACAATAGAACACTGCGGCTTTTGTTAAATCGTTATACCAACGTAATTTCGATACACCGCGACTGCAGTACATTATAATGCTGGTAGATGACACGTAGACAATTCGTGCTTGAGCCGGCCGATATTATTTGATTTCGACGGTGGTTAAGAGAACACAATGGTTCGAGACGCACTTCAACGTGCGTTAACGTTGTTAGCGGTAACATAGTTTATTCCCCCCCCTCCGCCCGTTTGTGTGGAACTAATCATGTATATTTACACAATCAAGCTTCAAATTCAGGTATTCACACACGCGATGACATGTACATGGTTATCAGGGATACGGGGTACATCAACTTCATGGCATATGTTTATCATAATATTTACAATGAATAACTGTTGTCGCTTGAACAGTATTTTATAAATAATACCCATTTTATTGGCGACCCTGAAATCATCGAAGTTCTATTAGATTTACGACGCTGACATTCTCATAAATCTGATCTATTCAGCTCTGATTAGACATTATTACGAAAAAAAACTTTGCCAAAAAAAGACGCACGTGATCAAATTTTAAAAACCCATATTAAAGTCATACAGAGACCATTCGGAATCCCTGTAGATTTCTCGGTCGGAGTGCAGGATTTATAATTCCAAAAGGCTTACAGTAAAATTCAAAGAGCTCTGATCACTCTCCCGTCCCGAAAATCTGTAGCGAACAGCAGATTTTTGCGAATCCGCGATTTCTTGAAGATCAATTACTGTTCGCGAACGCACTGTTGAAAACGCGTCTCGTGAATTAAAATTAAAATAATAACATAACGAACGATCATCACGTCAGTTTCGCACGGATAAAGGGTTTTTATTTATTTATTTTTTTTTTTTTAAGTAAAACTCTCTGTGCATAAGTATTACGCGTGGCGCGTTGTCGACGTCGACCAAAACTCTCGTTTTCGTCATGAATCGGATACGTCAAAACAATTCGTGGACCACGAACAACAACAACAACAACAACAACAACAACAACAACAGCAGCAGCAGCATGCGTTACCGCATAAGCGCATGGTTGTTATAGCGTAGCCGCGAACGACATCATCCTAACCCTGGAGGTCGGGATCGTGACTGACGCGAGCGTTCTCACGGCACTTCTCGTGACGCGTTTTTCTCCGTTCCATTGGTCGTCCGAGTCTCCTCCGCCACCGTTGGAGATAACGTACAGAACGGCGTACGATTTTACAATCGGTTACGATATGACGACTGCTTCGACCACGGACGAGATCGGATCGATCGATAATCATCCCGCTGCGGTAACGCGGAGACCACGGTCGCGCAGCGTAATTGTTCGCGTGATCCGATTCCCCGTCGAACCGGATAAGCCCGTGCGCCCGTAACCCAAACCGCACGTGAATACCGCGCGAAAATTATTACCGTTGTTGTTATTGGGCAACCACTCGCGGGTTTGATCTTATCCGGGACCCCGTGCGAATCGCGCCCGTCTAACTCATCTCGACTTCTCGTTCTTTCGACACACCGTATCGCGCTCACGCTCGAAATGTGTGTCGAAACACGCGTACAATCGTCACCGGTGCAAATCCGTCGGCAACAATACGACTCGGAATCGCTGAACAACCGCCGCGGTCGCGAATCCGCCATTGCTCGCGTGTTTTGCTCTACATTTCGTCTTCTTCTACCCGGCGGCGCGCACGTGCGCACGAACGTGAACACACCGGGCCGGGGGTTACCTTGTTTCGCATGCCCTCCCCCCCTATCACCCCGGGCGACCGTGACGTTTGAAAAACGATTTTCTCGCAGCGGTGCGCGTTTTCGTAGGATTATATTTCCAGTCCTGTCTCCTATTCGATCCAGCGGTGCCGACTGTGGGGGACAGGGAGGGGGGCGGCGGTCGGAGAACTTTTTCCACGGATGTCGTTCCGAGTGAAAGCTCGACCGCGGCGGCGATTAATACGAATCGATGACGCAATCGGGACGGACGAAAACAATAAGAATAACGTAGGAGAAACATACACGCGTATGCACACAGGTGTATTTACGTGCGGAACGGCAGAGCTCTACCTGTTCTAATGCGGATCCGTATGTATGTCGTCGGCGCGCTGCAACCGCAGAAGATGCGCCCGAGCTTGTTGCACAACACCCCGGTGGTTCTATTGTTACGCAAATTATTAATCGACAGCGATTTCATTACGCGCTCGAAAACGTTCGTAAACGGGAACGATTATCGTGGGCGATCCCGTATCGTCGCGTACATCGATTCGCCGTCGTGTAACGCGTCGTCGGAACCTAACCGCCGACGGCTTCAGGTTACGACACGACGTTCGTAGGGTTAAATTAGTTGCCCGCAGGGCCGTCGGAACGTAAGACGATGATAAAATCGAACATAAATATATCCTTAACGTGTGCGTTATGTGCGTTGCACGTGCACGGTACGCGCCAAGCGACGTTTACCTTTCACCTTTCCACTTGTGCGTAACACTTTGTTGTTCGTTGACGTTATTTATTTATTTATTTATTATTTTTTTTTTTTACCGTGTTTCAGTTAATACACGTACGTTCGTAACATATGCTGTCAAATATGTTTGCCGTCAAGACATGGACGCTTGTCACGTTGCTAGCATGTAATTATTATTTAATTGACCCTAACGCACTTGATGTCCGCGCACGTTAATTTATTGTTACGAAACTGAGTAAATACGTGTTTGTGTTGTCTCGGACACAGGTATGGCGTACGGGCAAAGGAAGCCGCCGAACTATCAGCAAAATGAAATGCCACCGACCAGTTTCAGCTGCAAGGACAAAATCGTCGGCGGTTACTACGCGGACCCCGAAACTTCGTGTCAAATGTTCCACGTCTGCGTCAATGTCGTAGGCTCTGGGGTGAGTATACAGAAACTCTCTCGACGTGGTTGCGCGTTGATTGTCAATTGTTACCAAATGTAAAACTTTATTTTTCTTTTTTTAGCTTCAAGATTTCCGGTTTCTCTGCCCGAACGACACGGCGTTCGATCAAGAGAATCAAATTTGCGACGACTGGTATAACATTGACTGCGAAGCGGCTACATTGTATTACAGCGACAACTTTGACTTGTACAAGCTTGGTGAGTAAATATTTTAATTCTTCACGCGTTACACCACGTAAAAGCTTTCGAATTTCGAAAAGGTAAAAAGTACCGTTGAAAATCGAATCCCTTCCCCCGTTGATGATCAAATAGGTTTGTTTGACTCGAAATGTGCGCAGCACATCAACAGTTTTAAAACATTAGCACCGCGTCCTCGTTCGCCGCAATGCTCTTAGTGGTGTTCCTGGACGCGGGAAACGGTATCCGGCCAAAATAGCGAAAAAAATAACCGCGAATGTAAAAATAGCGAAAAAATAACCACAAATTATTAATGGCGAAAATATACGATCTAGTGATAATAATTTTGAAAACCAATTAGGAATTTTAGTGAAAATTATATGCTGTATTATTTAAAAAGTTCTTACTATCATTAGTATTATGATTTGTAATTAACAAATAAAGTCTTTCAGCACAGTTCTTGTACTTTTTTTTATATCTCTGATTGTTCCATAACATTATATACTGTTCTCGTATTAATTATTCTAAATTTCGAATTTTTTTTATTGCATCAATAAATTTCTATATTTTTCCATATAGTAGTGTGGCTTCCTGCTAAAGAATATTCATTATATTATTTATTCATTATAGTTTTAAAACTTATCCAAGTACTATATTAAAATTTATAGTGTTCGAAATAGAAATGATAAAAAACTGCAGTTTCGCTATTATGCACGATCGCTTATTTTAGAACTCGCGATTTTGACATTCGCGGTTGATTGTTTCGCTATTTGAACCGCGGGAAACGTGTTAATACGACGAGCGGTGGGTAATTGATGTGTTGACGGTTTCGCAGGTTCCGGCGGAGCTCAGGCCGTCACGTCCGGCAAAGCGACCCCGATACCACTGGGACCGTCCAGCGCATCGCCCAACACGGTGGCCCTACCGCATCCCAAGTCCAGAAGCCGGCCGTCGCTGTCGGTGCCGGTGAACAATGCGGTGTCGGAGACCGACGACGACTATTACCTGCAGCGGAGCGACTCGTCGGACAGCCGGCTGCAGCACGACCTGTTGCGCGGCAGCAGCTCCGGCAACTTCTTCAGCAACCGGAACCGCGGCGTGGAGAACCCGGATGACTACGATGACACGCGGGTACCATCCGCGAAGGACGTGCCCAAGAAGAACACGAAGGCGCCGTTCAGGAAGCTGTTGACGGGCAAGAAACCCATCGCGGAGTCGTCCACGAGCACCACCACCACCACCACCACCACCGCCGCCGCCGCCGCCGCCGCCACCGCTGCCGCCGCGGTTCAGTGGAACGCTGCTAGCACGACGACCACGGTCAGGCAACCCAGCTACAAGCCAACCACGTACCGGAGCAAGGACCGCGGTCGCGTCAACTACAAAACGTACTTGGACAAGCAGGCCAAAGCGGACGAGTACGATTACCAGAAAGTGGCGAAACCCGCCACCGCTGCGCTACCTGCGACGGTAACCAGCAGCAGCAGCTCGTTCCAAACGACCACGGCCAGAGCCACAAACAACAACGCGTTCCAGACCACGCAGATCAACATTGCCCACACGGACCTACCGGAAAACAATGATTTCCTACGAATCGCACCCACCAACCGCAATAACAACTTTCAATCCACCCGGATCAATGTGGTGCCCGCCAATAACAACAACAATAATTTCCAAGTCAACAACAATAATTTCCAAGCCAACAACAATAATTTCCAAGCCAAAAATAACAATTTCCAAGCCGACAACAATAATTTCCAAGCTAAAAACAATTTCCAAGCCAATAACAATAATTTCCAAACCAACAACAATAATTTCCAAGCCAACAATAACAATTTCCAAGCTAATAACGCATTCCCGGCAAACAATAACAATAATTTCCAAGTAAACAACGCGATCCCGTCCAACAACAATTTCCAATCGAATAAAGTATTCCAGTCCGTCAACAACGTGAATCAGAACTTCCAACAAAATAATAACAACTATAACCAGGGCTTCGTATCGGACAGGATAGCGTCTACGACTGTGCAAAACTTCAAAAATCAGAACCCGACCACAAATAGTTACCAGACCAATGCCTTCCAGCAACAGCAGCAGGGTAACAATGGGTTCCAACAGGGAAACGCTTTCCAATCGGGTAACGCTTTCCAGCCAGACAGCCAGTATCAGAACGTAGCTCCGACCACTCAAAAGTACAATGGGTACCAGTCGACCACAAACGCGTTCCAGACGCCGACGTCGTACAACGCGGGGAACTCGTTCCAGCAACAGCAGCAGCAGCAGCAGACGTCGCTGCAGCCGCAGTTCCAGTCCACCACGGAGCACTTCTCGAAAGATTTCAAGGCGAAGTTTGATCCGTACAACAGTTACCATCAGAGAACGAACGAGGAAGCGGGCGAAACGTTGAAAACGGCGTACAGCACCAACCTGAGGCCGAGCGACCTGAACGCTCTGATCCAGCCCAAGCCCAAGTCGATAAACGCCACGCTGTCCGTCGGGTTCAGCTTCAACAAGGCGGACGGTGGCGTTGCCAAGTCCACGGTGATCGTGCCGGCGCCCACCACGCAGAAGCCGAGGCCGTTCACCACACAGCAGCCCACGACCGCGCAACAAACGACGCAGGCGGTGGCCAGGACTACCGCTTTCGCGGCCGCCCCGAGCACCACCAAAAAGGCCGTCGTCACCAAAGACAAGGACTCTTCGTACGATTACGCGTACTACGACGACAGCAATCACAACGATTACAGCGACGCGGTGCCCGAGGAGTTTTCGAGAATTCAAAACGTGAAACAGTAGTTATAAACAGCCATAACACTCCGATCCGAAAACGCGTGTAACTTTTTGTAAATAAATCGTAGGCTTACGTTGAAAAAAAAAAATAAAAAGAGAGAAAAATTAAAAATTAAAAAAAAAATTAAATAAAAAATTAAAATCCATAATTATAATATACATGTATTTATATATATATAATGTACTATTGTTGTTGATTATCATTATCGTTCAAACTGTTCGATCGCCTCGTGTTCAACCGATCGGTCGTCGTCCGTTTCGTTCGCCGCGGCCGCACCGCGAGCACCGTCGTGAAACGACGCGCCGCCCGGACGCCGCGGGTTCGGCGCGTACCGCAGGAGCTGGCCGAACACCAGGTACCGGGCCACGTCGAAGCGGCGGAGCACGTCGCGCCGGTACGCGGCCATCAGCCGCCTGTTCACCAGGTCCCAGCGGCCCGAAGCGGCCGCACACGTGGCGTTCCACAGCCCGTACGAGCGGCACCACAACGGCCGCGGCGGTCGTCCTTTGTCCGCGTCGCCGTCGTCCTGCCGCCGTCGCGCCGCGTCCGCGCACTTGGCGAACATGCCGCGGCCGGCTAGCGGCTCGTCCGCGGCCGGCCACGGGCCGTCGCGGCCGCGGCCCGTCAGCTGCGCGCTGCCCCACACGTACCCCAGGCACCGGTACCCGTCCAGGTCCGCCGGGCTCGCGCAGCCGCCGCGACTCGGGGCCAGGTTGAACGACCGTATCAGATGGTCCACCACGTCCGAGTACCTGTGTTACGGAGTAGATTGAACGCGTGTGCGTTTGGCAGGAGTTTTTTTTTAAAAAAAATCGAAAAACGTTTCATTTTTCGTCCATTTTTCACGCGCGAACCTTTTCACGACGCGATCGTATTAAGACCGTCGCCGGAATCGGACGGATAAAAAAAAAAAAAAAAACACGTGTTTCTTGTACTTCGCGCGAGAAAATCCGACCGTTATAATGTACCTACACCGTACGCGCAGACCTTTGTTGCAATCATTAGCTCTATCACTACTCATATTGTTAGTTAATATTTAAAATGAAATAAAAGCGTATTTCGTGAGACTGTTTCGGAAGTCCATAGAAATCGCGAACCCGTGTTTTTCGTCGTTCGCGTGCGTCAACATATTCTCGTTCTCGTAACACTTCTAATCGAGTCCCCTCGATTCCACATGGTCTCGGAACTCGGCTAGACACGTAACAGATGAGCACATTTTGTCCGATGATTCGGATTTTTTTACAGTGCGCATGCATTTTGTATTCGACCGACGCGAATCGACATTTTTTACAAAAACACTTCTATCGCACGAAAATCAACCAATAATCATTTAAAATGTATCCACGTTATCAAAAGATAAATCGAAAAAGCAATATTCTATCGTTATGCCGCATTGCTGTTGTGTTTGTGTTGAAATTATTTTGTATATTAATCATAATATTGTATAAACGACTATTCGAGAGAATTTAATAAATCAAATTATTACATAAATTTTAATTTATCCGTCAAAATTGTTTACGATTTACTTACATTAACATTCATCTCGACATAAATTATGCCGTTCGGTCGATGAAACATAATTCAATGGACAACGGTAATTCGACAATACTCGATTAGGTTATCAATAAACGCATCGTAATATGATGACGACCAATAACGGTTTTAAACAAAATATGGATTTCGTGTCATTTTTAAAAACACCTCTTTCAAAGAGATCATCAAATGAATGACGAAAATACTTTTGTGAATTCTTTTTTGCTCGTTTATAAATATTAAAAATTGTGTAATAATTATTGTGTTAACTATTACATACTACGTTTCAAAGCATTATTGTAACGGTAAAATTTTTATAAGTGGCAGTCGAAAAGGATACCTTAAGAAAAACAATCAACAAAAATATTAAATTACAAGTTATCATGTCCCGATGAAAGGTATTGATCAACGAAAATTGAAAAAATAAAATAAAACATTTAACTAACCATAACGATAAAACCAGAAAATCGTACTAAGAGTCAAGTAATTGTCCGTAATTTATAAGGAACGTGTATAATCTATATATATATATATATATATATATATATATCTAATCCTAAGAACATTTGTTCTTGACATAAGTGACTTTCTATGTCAGAGAAGATTAAATGAAATAAACCAGGTCTTTCTATGATGCAATATTTGAATTGGCAAACGCACAAAGTTGAATTCTTAGCGAATTATGACGTACGATTGTAATTTAATGTACTCGTATATTTGCTAGTAGGTAGAAATTCACTACAAATAAAATAAATACATCAATTAAATTACTAGCTTTACTCTACACCGAGGTAACACCTCCTCATGCAGAGAAAAAATGTTTATCAAGAATTATAATTTATAGTAACAAAAAAATTTAAAAAATTATTGTACATGTATACCTCTATACTATGACTTTGTTATATCAATATAATATTTTTCTAATCTAGATCGTGTTTTTATTGTAGATGGATGATATTGGTTTTGCTACTCATAAAAAAAAAAAGTAATTATTAAGGCATTAAGAATAATAAATAATGAATCGATAATAATTTATCAATTTTTGTTTAATTTATAATAATTACGAATTATTGCATTTATCTCAATACCAATATACTGAAAGTTAGTGCAGTGAATTTACTCGGGTTTTAAAATACCTCTATTTTAAGTCCCACAAAAAAAGATAGAATAACTTAATAAAGATGGAATAAATTAATTTTTAAATTTGCATAATATAATAAACTTATTAATATTACAGTTCTATTAAGTATTCAAACATTTACTTTGACTTGAAAAAATTATATAAATTAGTGATAAGTAGAGCTCAGATTTATATGCATTTAAAAAGTGTCAAATATGATGCAATATGTAAAGAAAAAGTGGCTAAATATGCAATTATATGCATTATGTTACACTTTATAAAATGTGATTTTTTTTTTAAAAAAAAACCACGCTTTTTTATCAAATAAAATTCTAAATATTTTATCAAAACCAAAAAAAAGGATAATATCCACTGCTTTATATTTCAAATATTTTAAATCAATCTAAAACTTTTAGGAAACTTAAAAACGAGAAAACAAATAAAAAAAAACAACTAAAAATAAATATTTTAGATCATTTGAAGTTACCTACTGTCAAAAAACTAATAGAAAACTTAAAAAAAATTCAAATCTTTTAAAATAATATTTTTTAAACTTAATACCTATCATGTCTATTCGTGCTCCATTTAAGGCGATTACAAAATTTTACTATAAATTAAAATAGTTAATTTATTAAAAACCCATTAAATATGCATGTTATATGCGTTTATGAACAAATATACAATAACCCTCGAAATATGCAAAATATGCAATATAAAATTTGGTGTTTAAATTCGGTGTAATATGAATCGTAGACATTTCAAACCTCCATAGACGTACATACACTTAGTACAAACATGCAAATACATATAAATATATAAGTATATAATATTATCAAATAGTTGTCATAATTAGTTGGTACAATGTTTATAAATACATGAGCAGGAAGGTTTTGATGAAGTCAAATGGTTTTAAAACCATAAAATTAAAATCAATAAAATGTAATTAGTCCTGTCATTAATTAATTTAAGTTATAATTATATAAGTATTAATACTAATAAAGTAAAATTACGTAATAATAAAAAAATAAACTAAACTATAAATTATAAAACTATAAACTTAATATTTTAACTATTCAAATTATGTGTGAGTATTTATTTAATTAATTTTACTCTTCAGAACCCTTGTATATTGAATAATTTCATTAAACATGATCTATATGAATTCCAAGATTTGGATTTAAATATATATTATTTATAAAAAAAACTAAATAATAATCCCAAACAATTCTCAAACTATAATTTTAAACATATTTTCCAGATTATTTAATTTACTATTATGACATATTTTGTTAAATTGTATTTTATTCATTGTTGTTCAACGATTATTTTATAAGGCGCAGTATCATATCCAATTAAATGTAAAATAATTTAATTGAACAATTTACTTAATAATTAGTGACTACGTAAGACTCAAAAATAGTGCTAATGATAGTATCAAAATAAGGGACGAGACTACTTTTCAATTTTTTTAAAAAATTATTAAAAATTATTTTTAGTTAACAACTATATCTTTCACAACTAATCGTTAAAATTGCCTATGCCGAACGCCTTAAAACTTTTATTAGATTTCTTTGTTTTTTTTTTTTTTATAAATGTACAATAAATTAATCGACAGTACAAACAAGCAAGTTAAAATCATTACGTTTTTATATAAATATACTATACGAATTCTGTTTGAATATAAATTTAAATGATAATTTGATTTTAAGTAAATAATTGTTGAACTACTGAATTACCGAAAGGCAAATAATGGGAAAACATTCTGTGCCCAAGAAACATAATAAATGCATTCGCTTTGATGCACGAATCTTACACAAAACACACAAAATTCGATATGATTAAATAATACCACGGTAAAATCAGTGCAGGTGTTGAATAATCCGTAAAAATGTTGCGTTTTCCTTTGTTGAGCGGAAAAATGTTAGATACGTAAATCGTGTAGTACATAATTTTGTATCGAATGTTGTGTTACGAATGCGTTTTATGTCAAATAATAAGAAATTAACGGTCAACTAAACCCAATGGTATTCTTCCCTTCACGAATGTTATCTGAGTATTTAAACGTTGTGATGAGTGCAAGTCCCGTTATCCTATTGGCGTCTTTTTCTTTTTTTTTTTGCAAATTATAAACAGACAACCGAGATGGCTTACATTTATCACGTGGCGAACAATGGTCTACTTTAAAGGTTGATATATATATGTGTGTGTGCGTATATCATTATGTCGATAAATATAAGCCATAATATGTTTTGCAAAAGTTAGTCGATAAAAGTACAGGTTTTCGACGCTAGCAAGCGGTCGCGCTATTCGGGATCTCGAGGCACCGATGATAAGATAAATCTGGGGCCCTATATAATGGGTTGGGGCTAACTGTGGAATATGAGAAAATTATGTTCTCAAGATTTTCAATAAATAAATGTATTGACCAGGACTTA